CTCTTTTTAGTGTCAGAACAAAATATTATAATATTATGTTAATACTATATTTCTATTAGAACAAAATCTTAGACTGGAAGCCTTACCCTTCTTTCAAAACTCATATTTGCTACCAAAGGAAAAAAGTATGTGTCCTACCCAGCTCTAAGTTTCAGGGAAGTGGAAGATTTGCATCCAAAACTCAGCACTAAGGAAAAACGTAGAATTATTTTTAATTGTATAATTGTTGATTCTGGATTTCATTGCATAGTGAAGGTTGAAAATGACCTTCCAAAATTAGTTTGATTATAATTATGATCTTTAACTATGTAGATAGATATTTTAATGAGAGAAAAAAATGAAATAAAGCAAGCCACTTATAAAATTCTGCTATTACTTTGGGACCAAAACAATAACGAGAAGCTGCCACGTAGAATAAACTTGGAAATTTTCTTTTTAGATGATTGGAAAGCAATTGGCTGCTGCTAAGAGGTTTCCTTCCTGGTCAACATGACATTGTTATGAGAAAGAAAACATATTAAATTGCAAAGCAGTGTTATGAGTCATCTGGAATGAGATTTTATCCACCGTCTGTCAGAGCACATGTATAATTTTGCCAGAGTTGGGGGAAGAAAATGAAAGCTAACTTTTAAAAGGGGGGAAGTTAAAAAGAAAATGCATTTTCTTCTTTACTTTACAATAAATGTAGAAATTGATGTAATTTCTATGAACAATGAATGCTGAATTAACACAATTAGATGTGTGCTGTATTCTGAAATACAACTCAAACAGTAGGTTTGTACTGAATCCTGAACAAATCGGTTAAGTAAGATTCACAATAAATCATTGTGAAAAGATATTTAAGACTAATGAGGAGTCAATTGTCTTGAATGCAATATTTTGTGTCCACTATAATATGTAATAAAAGCATGTGAAGGAGACATAAATTATTTATTAAGATACATATAACTATTAAGTTACAAGCAATTGTGTGGAACCTGACAGCAAATCAGTAAATCTTTCTAAAATACCTACATTACTGTTGTACACTGAGATTATAAGAAATAATAATCTTCCAGAAATTCATGAATTCTTGCTCTATGAAAAGAGTTCTTCTGACTTTCCTTAGTCTTTAGATGATTGATAAAGACAAAGCTTCTGTTTTATTTTATGTCACCTAGGGATTTGAGGCTGAGCATTTCTTCTTGAGAAACAAAAGCAGAATTACAGTTAAAGTCTTTTAACCTTCTGGAAAGCATTGAGATAGCTCAGAAATTATACTGTTAAATGAACTGGATAATGCTGGTTGAGATGTCAAGTTTTGGTTTTGCTATTTTGGATGCTATATTATCGCTGCAAGCTGCCCGGAGTTGTTTACCATAACACAAACAGCCATATAAATATTTCAATTTATTAATTAATTAAATATCCCAGTTTTGGTTTATTAAAAATGACAAATGTGGCAGCAAATTTTAAAAAGGTTTGGAATATTTCACCTACTGCTTAGATTGTACATAAGATACAGTGGTAGGTTTCAAATTTTTTTACTACTGGTTCTGTGGGCGTGGCTTGGTAAGCGTGGCATGGCATGGCTTGGTGGGCGTGGCAGGGGAAGGATACTGTAAAAATCTCCATTCCCTCCCACTCCAGGGGAAGGTTACTGCAAAATCCCCATTTCCTCCTGATCAGCTGGGATTTTGGAGGCAGAAAATAGATGCGGGCGGGGCCAGTCAGAATTTTTACTACTGGTTCTCCGAACTACTCAAAATTTCTGCTACCAGTTCTCCAGAACTGGTCAGAACCTGCTGAAACCCACCTCTTATAAGATAGCAGAAAACTGAAATATCTACGAAAAAGCATTTCTTGGTAACAACACAAAGAATAACTGGCCTTATCCATGATAGCCGTGAAAAACAATCAAGACAAATCCTGACTACAGGTGATGATTCTCAAACTGGGAAACTTAAGATGTGTGGAATTGAACTCCGAGAATTCCCTAGCTGGGGAAAACTAGCTCAATAATTTTGCTAAGCAGCAGTCTTAACTTCTTTCAGGTCTGCATGGACCTGCTAGGATCTTGTGGTACATCTCTCTCCTAGAGTCATGTTAGTGTAAGTGTAAGTCATTAACAGGTTCTTGAAACCCGGAACACATAATGCTGCTTTTATCCATCCCCAACCCAACAAGAAAGCAATTTTAGCCTATCTTTTTTCTTCCATACATAAAAAAAAAACTGCTTTCAAAACTGTGATTACTCATGTGGTGCTTTCACTGGTCTATTGGTGAATGTATGGATATATGGGAATGTGAAAATCCAGATTTTACTGATGTGGCAGTCCAGGATAAAATGGCTGTGGAAAGAAGTAACCAGTAATGGAGAAAAGGGGTCATTTCTGCCATAGCAGCTAGCTCTTTTTGTTTTTTGAACAAGTAGTAATACAGTGGTAACCTATTTTATTTATTTATTTATTATTTATTTATTTATTGAATTTGTATACCGCCCTACTCCGGAAGGACTCAGGGCGGTGAACAGCCAAATAAAATACATATAATACAAATGTTAAAAAACCATTAAAATACAATTAAATAATTGGCCCGGAAAACGAAATTTAAAACACCCCAAATTCATAAGACAAATTTAAAATTTTAAAAATTTTAAAAAACAGTTTAAAAGAGAGGTTAGGCCAGGCTGGCTGCTGGAAAAGAAATGTTTTGATGGCACGGTGGAAAGCGTGCAGGTCCGGGATCCTCCGTATCTCCGGGGGAAGCTCGTTCCAGATGGCGGGTGCCCCCACAGAGAAGGCTCTCCCCCTGGGGGCTGCCAGTCGACACTGTTTGGCCGACGGCACCCTGAGGAGCTCCTCTTTATGGGATTGTACTGGTCGGTGAGAGGCTACTGGTGGCAGAAGGTGGTCTCGTAGATACCCCGGTCCTAAGCCATGGAGCGCTCTAAAGGTGGTAACCAAAACCTTGAAGCACACCCGGAAGACCACTGGGAGCCAGTGCAGCTTGCGCAGGAGGGGGGTCACATGGGAGCACCCCATCGCTCCCATAACCACCCGCGCGGCCGCATTCTGGACCAGCTGGAGCCTCTGGGTGCTCCTCAAGGGGAGCCCCATGTAGAGAGCATTGCAGTAGTCCAGGCGGGAAGTGACGAGAGCATGAGTGACCGTATTTAATGAGTCCCGATCCAGAAAGGGATGCAACTGGCGAATCAGGCAAACCTGATAAAACGCCCTCCTGGCCACAGCCGTCCAGTGCTCTTCTAAAGACAGCTGTGAGTCCAGGAGGACCCCCAGGTTGCGAGCTCTCTCTGTGGGGGCCAATGACTCGCCCCCAATAGTCAGCGATGGCACTAACTGACTATATCAGGATGTCGGAAACCACAGCCACTCAGTCTTGGATGGGTTGAGCCTGAGTCTGTTCCTCCCCATCCAGATCCATACAGCCTCCAGGCACTGGGACATCACTTCAAGGGCATCATTGGGATGGTCCGGGGTGGAGAGCTGGGTGTCATCAGCGTACTGGTGGTACTTCACCCCGAAACCATGGATGATCTCACCCAGAGGCTTCACATAAATGTTGAACAGAAGGGGCGAGAGGACCGACCCTTGTGGCACTCCACATACAAGGAGCCTCGGGGTCGACCCCTACCCCTGCCAACACTGACTGCGACCGGTCGGAGAGGAAGGAGGAGAACCATCGCAACACGGTGCCTCCCACTCCTAACTCTTCCAGCCGGTGCAGCATGATACCATGGTCGATGGTATCAAAAGCCGCTGAGAGGTCTAATAGGACAAGGACAGGAGCAACCCCTGTCCCGAGCCCTCCAGAGATCATCAACCAATTTTCTTATCTGCAACCATCTAGCAGTGCTGTACAAGGGGAAATTAATTGTAAGGGGCTCATACGAGAAGTCTATCCATTGCTATGTCTCTCAAGACCACCTTGTCTTCCTCATAGTGATGGGTGTTTGCACTCTCTAGAAGAGGGAGCGTTAAAGAAGCATAGGAACCTTCCATTCAGGACATGGGAAGTGCAACTTGGACAGAACATCAAACCTATGGCATTTTTATTTCTCTCTCTCTTTTTTCTTTTGTTGCTTTGCTTTCTTCATATATTGGGAATTACAGTGAACAGACTGAATAATTCCAATATGAATATAGGCAAAGAGACTATTTTATGTGTTTTTCCTATTTTACAAACTTTCCAACAGTTATTATTTTAATATTTTGCGGCAATTCTAAAATTGAAAGTGTTAGAACTCCACAGCCAATGAAAAACTGAGTACCAAGTTCCCAGCAGTTGTGACATGTCAAAGTGGTTGCTAGTAGGCACCCCTGAGGCTACAAAATTGATTCAGGAGCCGCAGGCCAATATATTGTGAAAATGCTAGTAAGTGATTAATTGGACAGCACATGTTTATAGATGTGTTGATTTATAAGGCTTTAATTCCAAACTCCAATGAGCTATAATTCCAAACTCCAATTAGTTTAAAATTGTAAGATTCCCCTTTATCTATTAATACCTTTCTCTTTATTCTATAGTACACCTCAAACCAGGAACTTCTCAGATTTATTTATTTTTGGGAGAATCGATTGTTAACTTTCTGAGCGGTTTGATGAACTGGTTGTTGGATGAAATCATTAGGGCAGAGAACCGGTTGTTAAATTATTTGAATCCCACCACTGTCACCCAGCCAACATTCATGTATCCAGATCTCACCATATCCCAGTTTCTAATCTGGTGCCTTAACCATTACATCAAATTGACTCTTGTTTTTTTGGGATATAATAAAGCAAATGCTGAATCCATCAGAATGTTTAATTTGGATTCCTGCAGAAAAAAATTGGCCTTTTATGGCCTAAATAGTCCCTGCTAATTATTTGACCTGGGTAATAATGTCTAGCTTTGCCTTCTTTACAAGGGAATAATTTAAATGCATTAAAAATAATATCTCAGACATCTTCTTCAACACAGAATTGCAGATCTTTAAAATCAATTTTTGAGACTCCACTAGATAATATTTCAAGAGCATATTTTATTAACTGCATAGATTATCACATATAATTATGGAAGATTACAAATAGTATACAAATGCAGAAAAATCTCACAGATATAGTGTCATTCAAAATGATATTTATTAGCATTAATTCCATGAAAATGGTATTGTGATCAAAAGACAATTTGTTTGGATTTCACACAAAACATTAAAAGATTTAGAATTACTTATAAAGTAATAAGAAGCAATAAGTATTAGGCTCACTCAAAACAGATATAATAGAAAGCAATAATGTATTGGTACAACAAGTTGGATGGATAAATTAGTAATCAATGGAACATAACATTGGTTCACCAACTGATACAATAATAGTATAGGCAGGTGAATAAAAGGCACTATGGAGGCTGGTATAAAATGCTAAACGCAACACCTTAATTATGCTCAGGATCTCTGAAAAAATAACATGTGCAATAGTCTTATTTGTGTAATTATCAAGCCACAGTTTTACACTGGTATAATTGATGCCATTGCACAAGATACTTTCCTTATAGAAATACATTTCTGACAGAGTGTCAGAGTCAGAAAAATTTCTGATGGTATTTAAATTAGCAATCAAATGAACAGCATCTTTGAATTGCTCTTTTGTAGGACTGACTATTTTTGTTTGCATTTCTCTGCGGAAAAAGATATTACTTTTCTTTTGGGAATAAACAAGTGTACAAATCTCTGCCAGAGAAGTATTTGTGACAGAAACTTTCCATATGCACCCATCATTGTTCTTTGGTCTACAGAGATCCCAGTCATCTTCACCCTTGCCCGTTTGACAGTGATAGGCTGAACAACCATATTTGGCACATTGATAGTTAATGTGGCAGGGCAAGCCTGTGGGAGTTACATCTCGGAATGGAGAGCAGGGTTCAAGTCCATGAACAGTCTCACATTGGAAATGTGCTTTGGTTATTTGGCAGCTGTTCTTACACGAGTTGTTTTTCAGTGAATATTCAAAGGAATCCCATTCTGATAGAGTGCCACAGTAGTTCCATTTTCCATTTCTGAAGTAACAATAGCGATAGGAACCTCCCCATAAATCACAAGGGGAGTCACATTTCTCACCAGAAACAGCCAAGCCTTCTTGTAAGGAACAATAATCCCAACCATGTCCACTGCCGCCCTTTTGCTGGCACCAGGTGTATTTATAATCATGATACCCACAAGTATTTGTACATACTCCCCCTGAACTTGTGTAATGAACAATATGAGAGGAAGTCCAAGATATGAAGGAGAAGAATGCAACCAGAGCTACATAAACTCTCATCATGATCTTCTTGAAATCCTGAAATGAAAGAATAAAATGTTCTGCTAACTATGTTTCTATAGTTTTGCTGTCACACCTTCTTGTCCCAAATTCTGACTCCTCATGGTTTCATAATGTGCCATGCATTATGTTTCTTTCATTACGGTAAATTGCAACCAAAAATCTTAAAATCCTTTTATAATTTTATGATTCTAAATGTTACAGAAATAAAGCTCTTACATTTGATTATTAATGATGGATCTCATTCAACAACACCTAAAAATTTAAAATGCTTTTCCAAAAGTGGAGCGGAGTTGCATTTATTTTCTAAAATATATATCGTAGGTAGGATTTCCCTCTCCCCCCATTTTCCTTTAATTTTTACAAATCTTGTTGTTTGTTGGTAGTTGATTTACCATCACTTTAAAGAGTGGAAACATCTTTCCTAATACATCTTTAAATGATCATGAAACCATGCAATATCATGCAGAAAAAAGCAAATGCAAAAACGACTTGGCTTGGACATTTTTCTACAGATTTTTAATTTAAAATTTAGTATGGAACTTTTGTGGCCCAGATATCTGCTTCCCAAAAGAGCCAGATTTTTCTGGAAAGTGATCCAAACCTTGAATTGGGCCCAAAAACCTATAAGCAATCAGTGTAATTCCATCAGCATAGGTATTATCCTACTGAATCATTTAATGCCGGCAGCCCCATGTAAAGTCAATTATAGTAGTCTAACTGAGATGACAAACTAAAGACAAAACCACATTTTCCCAAACACAAAATAATATGAGAATTTGATTTCTTTGCAACATACATACTTCATTTAAAGAAAATGCCTATCTTTGATAACTTAATACGGTAACTACTGGGTTTTGATTGGGATGAAAAGAAATAAATTATTTTAAAAATCCCCAGCCTTATTTATAAACTGAATATCTTCACATATTTCCATTAGTTAGTGAAGTAGAGTATCAGGATATACGCTAAATAAGAGGGATCAGGAATATTCTTTTATATAAAAAAATACAAATAGAAAAACTCATAAACAGAATCAAATTCATACTCTTCCCTTTTCATCCCAGATGCAATTCTAAAAGCCATGATAACTAACATCCCTCACTGAATTTTTAACAATTACTTACTCCTTTTTCCAACAAGCACTCTTTGTTTTCTCACTCTGTCCCTTGTTCTGTGACTTCCCAGAAACCTGAGGAGCAATGAGGGTAAATGATGTTTTTTCCTCTTTATATATTGACCAAATGACTGACTTTCTGTTTCAAAGCTAGGGGTAAAGAGGAGGAGCAAAATGAGAAATGAAAGCATCTTTTTCCCATTACTGTGCTTATTTTAATAGCAAAATGCAAACTGGCTCAGTGAGAAGGAAAACAAAATTTTTCATGCAATAGGTAGAATTGGAGAACAAAAAGGGGAAAAAGACTCAATGGGTCAAAGATCGTTCAGAGGTTGAGAAGACCTGGGTGAAGTGGCTCTGGGCAGCAGCAACAGAGGGATTTCATGTGATAAAAGAAAAGCAGCTAGTAAACCACTTAATCAGCACAAGTTGGAAAATAATACTTTTATTATTTATTTAGGAGGAAAATATGCTAGAAGTTGCCTTTCTTGTATGCTGGGACATGCAGCTTCCAAATGCACATATTACATCATCACATTCACCATCTTTTACAGAATAACATAGTAGGAAGAAATCTTGGAGGTCTTTTACTTCAACTCCTAGTGAAGCAGGAAAAATTGTACCATTTCAGACAAATGGTTGTCTTCTTAAAAACTCCAGTGTTGGAACACCCACAACTTCTGGAGGCAACTTGTTCCAGTTATTAATTGTTCTGTCAGGAAATATCTCCCTAGTTCTAGGTTGTTTCTCTTCTTCATTAGTTTCCATCCATTGCTTCTTATTCTGCCTTCAGATATTTTGGAAAATAATATTGATATTTATTACCTTGATATTTACTATTCTTTGTGATCACTTATGAACTGTGACATCCACAACTCATTTAAAAGTTGCTCCGTCATTAAACCAGTAGTGGAATTCAAATATTTTACTACCAATTCTGTGGGCGGGGCTTGGTGGGCATGGTGTGGCTTGGTGGGTGTGGCTTGGTGGGCGTGGCAGGGGAAGGATACTGCAGAATCTCCATTCCCACCCCACTCCTGGGAGAAGGATATTGCAAAATCTCCATTCCCACTCCACTCTGGGGCCAGCCAGAGGTGGTATTTGCCGGTTCTCTGAACTACTCAAAATTTCCGATACCAGTTCTCCAGAACCTGTCAGAACCTGCTGAATAGCACTCCTGCATTAAACACATGATGAGCAAACATATTAAGTATAAGTCCCTTCATTTCAATTCCATTAAACAAAAATTAAACCATTTCTAACTCTTTTCCTAACTTCAATTCAGCAAAGGGCATATGTGATCCTTGATCTAGAAAAGATTGAGCCCTTCTGATGTGGCATTTTTGGTCTTCTGAGCACACTGCTTTATACAAGTTTCAACAAACCAAGAATACTTGTTTTCTGCAAAATCATACAATGAGTTAAAAATTATGAAACCTACAAAATCCCTGGAGGAAAAATGGTAACATTCTGTTTAAGAAAAATATGCAGCTATCCTGGCACATGTTTTCCAGCCTGGCATGTTTTTCATTTTGTTGACATCCTTTTGCAATGACCTGAGAGTTAACAAAAAAAAGAGAGAGAGGGGAGGGGAGGAAGGGAGGGAGGGAGAGGGAGGGAGGGAGGGAGGGAGGGAGAGGGAGAGATAGAGATAGACAGACTTTATTTTACAAGGTTTGGGAACACTGTGTGTTATATATGTCCAAAAGAAAAGAAAAACAGTAGAGTCTCCATAGAGCTGAACTTAAATTCTAATGAGTCCTGCACAGGGGTGAAATGCTACTGGTTCAGGGCGGTTCACCCAAACCGGTAGTGAAAATGCTACTGGTTCACCCAAACCAATAGTAAAAAAATGCTTTAAAAAGTTAAAAAAAAATAAAGGTTCCGACAATCAGCTGTGACAATAATCTATGCCACGCGATTGTGGGAATTTTTTTTTTACTTTTTAAAGCATTTTTTTACTACCTATTGCCCAAACCAGTATTTTTGTGTAAAGTCTTTTTGAGCTCTGTGAGGTTCCTGCTTGTTGCATTTTGTGTGAAGTCCAGCTGCTTTTGCATTGTGTGTGAGTCAATTATGTAGCTTTTGTGTTATTTTTGTGTAAACTGTGATAGTTGGTGGTCACATGACCACCAAGCCACGCCCACCCACTCCCATCACCAAGTCACACCCACCAAGCCACGCCCACAAAACTGGTAGGGAAAATTTTTGAATTTCACCACTGGTCCTGCATGTATCCATATACAGTATACAGCCATTATATCCATAAAGTTCATTTGGCTGTCATACAGAAGTAGTTTTCTTTTGTCTTCTTCTGTGTTCTTTTCTCAACTTTCCATTTCAGCCTATAAACTTTGGATTCCATGATGGTCTTCCATAAAGTTTAAAACAGAACTGATCCTACTTCATTTTCAGAGATTGGACCAAGTGAGGTTGGTGTTGCCAGTCAACTGGTTTCACTAGGTTCATCTTGGGAATGTTAGCATGCTATCTAGGTATCTGCCACTTATCCCTAGTCCTTTGATAAGTAACACCAGTTTACGTTATCCTTAAGTGTTCTAGTTTTAAAGTTGTGTTTTCTCCTTAAGCAAGCAACAACCCTCAACAGTTTCAAGATGTATAAAATCTGATACACATTGCAAACTATTCAATGTATGGCAGAGTTGGCTGAACTGCAGGAAGGCCATTTCACATCAGGTTTTATACTCCTTCAAAAATGCCTAATTGTCAAAGGATCCTGAGTGCTCTGACAAAGCAAGCTGACCAAACAGCTGAAGTAGGAAAGCTAGAACTAGCAAAAACAAAGATAATTGGCCAAATTATCTTTCAGAAGAAAAGATTGGAGACAAAAAAAATCAAGATGGCAGCTGTGCAACTAAAGCCAAACACTTTTTAATATGACATCACTAATTCAAGTTGGAATACAAAATAAAGTACATAGAAAAGAAGAACGGGAAAACACAGACTTATTTCAAGACAAGATGTTTGTAGTATCAAAATGGTAAGTGTAAAGGGGCAATTAAAGCCCTGCTCTTTTTAATATTATTGCACACATCCCCAATGTGCAAAAAAGGATAGGGCTTTGATCACTCAATTAAGCTATCAGACTGATGCATTTGACATTCCAAGCCTCTACTTTAAGGGATTGGGATAAAAATGTAAGGAAGCCATTTTTGGAGACAGAAATTCTCTCCAAAGGTAGAGTATAAGTTTCAAAAATCCATAGAGGAGAAACATCTTGGATCTAGATCACAGAATAATAACATTGATTTCACACTGCAAGTTTTTGATTCTCTTTTCTTGCCCACCATTACTCTTTTCTTGCCCTCTATTACTCTGAATATCTTTCTGAAACTCTCACCTCTCACTCAGAAGGTTGAGTGTTCAATCCTAGGCATTGGCAGATGTTTCTCTATCAGGGTGCAAAGAGAAAATATCTGCTGCAAACTCTATGTAGGCATCAGGAAGGGCATCTAGCCAATGAATGCTCAGCTCCATTCAGATACCTAATCAAGAGATTACAGAGTTGTAAAAAAAAATGTAGCAACTAGGTTGGAAGTTACAGAGACATGGTCTTTTGCAAGAGATAGCTGCAATTTCGACAAGGAATTTTTTCATGTACAGAAATTTTATCTTGCTGAGTCTTCCGAGGCATCCACAAAACCAGTGGACTAAAGTTCTTTTTCTAGGCCTGCAGTCTGACTGTGGTTTTTGGAATGGAAAGACAGAACTTTGGAGCTGTATTATATTAACTTCTGCTTGACTTCTGCTGTGGAATTGTACAAACAGAGCACATAGGTGAAGGCCAAATTTCCTGACTTTGGAGCTGCAAGTACAACAAAGAAATAAAATCTGATATACATCTGGATAGTGAATGAGACATAGATTTGTTGATGCACTTAACACAGAGCTACACTGAGGACACTGGGGTGTCATGACTGGATGACTGGAGAATTGTGGCTGGATGGTAGTAAAGAGAAGAAAGGTAATTAAGACTGATCAGGTGGAACTATTAGCAGGCCACATAGCAGATCTATACACACGCTAAAGTAGCTCAGTATCCCACAGTCGCATGATGAGGAGGAGGCAAGGAAGATGGTAACATCCAATACAGCAAAGACTGGACCCTCCTAAGTCCTGATGGGACTTAGCTTGTCCCACAGAAGCTTGTGGAGAATAAGTAGACAAACAGCTCTGGCCAATCAATGAGACATCATGGTAGTAGACAAGGACTGGAAGACAGTGGTGGTGATAGATGTACTGATGCTAGGTAACAACAACATCAGGAAAAAGGAGTATGACAAGCTTGGAATAATACCAGACCCTGGAACAGAATTAGCAAAAATGTGAAAGTAAAAGGAAAACTGGTCCCACTTGGTAAGAGCACTCAGACTTGTGACTCCTAAATTGGGAGAGTGGTACCAACAAAAACAACATCAGTGCTTTCTGTCCAGAAGAGTGCAGAGGGAGGAACAGCTATAATACCACACAGAACCCTCAAATTCCCTAAGTTCTGGTAGAAGACCTGAAATTGAGGAAGACATTCAATCAAAGGGTTCAGTCAAACTCACACTTAACATTCATTTCACTAGTGTTAAAAAATCTCAACTGATTAATCTCTATTTTTCATTGTATATTACAATGCATAAACCCTAGTTCTGCTAGGTCCTATGAAACTAAGTTCTAAACCAACCCGATCTACTTGATAATTACAGGGTTGATAAAATATAATCTATAGTACCATGTATAATAAGGAAAAGAAAAATTCTTACTCAGAAACATAAATAAAATCTAGTTAGAACAAGATTGAAATGCTTTTTTCAAAGAAACAAATTCAGCAATTAAAACGTTGGGCCTATTGAATTTTTCATCACTGGGATCTGCAGACACACACACAATTTAATAATAATTCCAAATTATCACACTGGTCAAAATGCAATGATTTTATATTGACTGTTTTTCTGACTGATCCAAGCATATTCTGGACATAAATTATTAATCAGGGAACAAAAAATGCAATATCTCATAGAAATCAAATGGTGTCTTTTATATATCTTCGTGAACCTCCTTACCTATTTATGAATTGTAACTAGAACACAAACAGAGGGAGGGAGAGAAAGA